GGGCTTGGGGGGATTTTGGGGGGTCCTGGGGTGGTTTTGGGGTCCTCACAGCCATCACAGCAGCTGCAAGTGAGCACAGCACAGGAAAGGGAGCATGTAGAAGCATGCTGGAACTTTCCCCACCTACTTCCTATCCTCTAGCAACAAGCTCTCCTGTTCCCAAACCTTCCTGTTCCTTCACTCCTGCTCCTTGCCCAGCCAAGGTGGTGAGACCCAGAGCTGCTCAAGAGGCTCCTGGCCATGCACAGACACAGCACATGCACACAGGAGGTGAAGAGGAGCAAACAGCACCCAGGGACTGCCACCCCGATGCTGCACGGGGTGAGGTTGACCTCTCTCACCAACTGAAAGGTGTGAATGGAGAAAAAGCCACATTCAGAATTGCCTCTGCAAGGCAATTTTACATCTGTGGATTAATCTGCAGCTCCAAAGGGAGCTGGGAGGAAAAGCAGTGTTTGCACTTAGCAACTTACCTCAAACTAAGCACACAAGGAAGTTTACTTGCTGCGTTATTGGAGAGTTTGACTTTCCCAGGTTGATGTCTGTCTTTATCTTGGATGGCTGGGGTGAGGAGGTTGGATGGAGAAGTCTGGATTTCCTGGCTCCTTTGCAGGTTTGTGTTGAAGAAGTGGCTCCTGAAGAGCACAGGAACCAGGAAGAGAGAGATGGGTTTGTAAAACTGAAAATGCCTTGTTAGAAAAGGGGCCTTTTTAAAAAAAAATAAATTGACAATGTTGCCCAGCATCCTGAGAGCAATAAATGATGTTATTTGAATCTTGACCCTCGTTGTGCCAGTCTCTCCAAAAGACTTTGCTTCTAAGCGTACCCAAGTATTACTCTGCTTGTGCAGCTGGCTAACGTGTGCTCCCAGAAGTGTGTATGTGAGGGGAAAGGAAATGTTTAAGTCCTTCATGCCTTCACCAGAATGAGCCACCAGAGGTGGCTGCTCCTTCCCAGCCTGTGTACAACTTATTTTGGGTTGTCCAAGCAACCCAAACTTGTCCTTTGAGCATTGCGAGGTGGCAAGAGCAAAACCAGTGAGGAAGAGGCGCTGCAAGGCTTGGGAGGAAGGTGTTCAAGTGGGGTCCAGCTCTTGGTGGACTTCTCTGCTGTCCCCCCATTCTGGGAGGTGGAGGTGTGCTGGGGAGGGCATCACAGCCAAGTTCAACTGGTGCCTGTGTCTCCATCAGCCCTGTGATGCCTGAAGAGAAGGGCAAAGACCCTCCTGGAGGTTTTGTGGGCAGGAGCAGCACACACAAAGCTGTTGTGAGGCTTCATTAGCAAGAGGGGCTAACTGTCCTCTGAGTGGGACTGTGCTCTCTGCCTAGCATCGTGTTTGTTTAAACTCGTTAAAAATTAATTGGAGGTTTTCTTTCTGCATGCTTTCCCTGTCAAGTGCTGGGAGTGGTGTAACTTCTCTGCAGTAATGTTTTCAGACTCTATTGTGCCGGAGTGTATATTTCTTAATTTATATCCCAGATAACAGCTCATGCTGCTGCTCAGCCAAGGGTGTTTTGGTAAATTGTATCTTCATTCATACAAAAATCAAACATTGGATTTCAATTCCTACTTAATTATTTTCTTCTAAGCGCCCTGGTGTCTGCTATGGGGAGAGTTTCTACCTGATTCTCCCCTGGGCACTGGCTGGAGCCCTGTTTCTCCCCTGGGCCCGGGCTGGACCCGCCTGCCTGTCCCCAGCAGCTGCTGATCCACGGCACAGCACCGTCCTCCTGCCTGCTCTTGCCATCGGTGCTCCTGTTGCTACAGAGCCCAGCTTTACTCATGTGTTTCTCCTCCGTGTCTCACCTGTACCTTGGACAATGATGTCCTCACCACAGAGCAAAGGCAGCTCTATGAAGACAATGGGTATCTGCTCATTAAGAAGCTCATTTCTGATGAAGATATTGAGTGTTTCAGGTACGGGGCATTTGCCTAAGGTGCTGGGGGGTCCTGTATGCAGCAGCATCCCAGGAGAGCTCTGGAAGCTGGAGAAACCTGGACTCTCCCACCATGGATGTGGGTGATGTTGCTGGATAGCTTTCTTTGTACCAGTAGTGTCTTTGAGGAGAGAAGTCTGGCTTAACGTGGCTAGAATGTGCTCTGGCTTCTCTGGTTCCCTCTGCTTTTAAGGCTCATATTTGTGAGGATCTGTAACAAGGAGGTGAATCCTCCAGGAGTTCTGATAATGAAAGATGAGATCCACAGACCCAGCCTCATTCAGTCTGAAGACACAGTTAATGAAGTGCATGCTTTCTGGGAAGGTGAGTAGTTGTTCAGGTACTGCACTCTACCAGAGGCAAAAAGGCAACAGGGGGATGGTGGTGGGAAAACCTAACAGAGGTTTGTGAACATACATATGTTTTAATGCCAAGGTGAAGGCAATGTCCAAGCTGGAAGGTTGTGTGATGCTCTGTTCTGTACAGGCCTACTCTAATACATGTTCCACCCAGTATCTCATGGATTTGTACTTTGTGTTCATGTTGGGGTAGTTAGCAGCAGCAGATTGCCATCACTTCTCATAAGATAATAGGGTATATTAATGTATATAATGTGTAGGTACGGTTCCTTATGTATTGGCTTGTCTTGGATCCTGGAGTACTACAGAAGTCAGGTTGTGTTGGAGAATCAGAGGTAGACATACGAGATTTTGGAGAGGTCTTGAGCTGTTGCCCTGGCAGTGCCTTGGCATATGCTGTAGTGGTGAGCATTGCACCTGCAGCAGCATCTATAGGCAGTTTGTTTGTGCTTGTTTTTTATTTGCGATAAAACTATTGATAGTCCACCCTACTATCCAAACAACAATTAATTTATGGTGTAGATCTGCCTAGTTTTTGCTTTACTTGCTAAATATTCCTGCAGCATAAACCACACATACTTCCACTATTGCTTTTTCCCTTGTAGATCCTAAAATACATTGAATGTTTCACAGGGCCAAATGTAATGGCCGTGCAGATGATGATGCTGATAGATCAACTTCTAGATCCCAGTAAGCAGAGGTCCCACAGAGGGGGAAATGCAGAATTTGTTATGTATGCCTGGGGTGCCGTGAACTTAACTGAAGCAGCACTTACCTGAAGTGGCGTTTACCCTTTTTGAAAAGTTGCTTGAAGTGAATTAAAAGCAATTCTGACAATATATGAAGTTATTTTTGTAATAGTGTTTTAGTGTAGCCCTGGCTTGGAGGGATGCGTTTCTTGTTGTTCAGTTTGCTGTAGATGTTCGGGTTCACACATTGGGAATGCCTCCTGACCCGTGTGTGCCTCCAGAGCTGAAGTGCTCGTATATCTAACCACACGTTACATCTAGAACATTCTTTCCAACTAATTTGTTTCTGCAGTTTATGTGTTATCTGTGCTTTAACAATGCTTTTCTTTACAAGCAGCATTAAAGTTTCAAAAAGGAACATGCAAAAATTAGGCGCCCAGCTGCTTATCCAGCTGTCTGCATTTGTATGAAGCCCCGCTGTTTAAGACATAGGTTTTTTTAAGCTTGACATTTCGCGTGTTGAAAATGAGTGTTTCCTGGAGCATGGTAAAAGACAATAAATACAGAGAAGATCCTTTGCTTAGAGTTTATGTGCTATTTTCCAGACTAACAGTTCAGAAATGTTAGATTTTGTCTGACTCCTGACCTTGCTGACAGCGGTTGCACGCTCAGCGCTTTGATATGAAGGTACTTGAGTAGGTGCCAAAGGAAGGATTTTGAATGCTGGCTTTGGCTTCCAGTGCTGCAGATCATAGTTCTACTTCATACAAGAGAAATGGGGGGGAAGGAAGTTTAATTAACTACATTACTGTTTTTTCAAAGTTGATTTGGCTCTTCATAAGCTTTTGCAGTTCAGCAGAGCTGAGACCTGAGGTGTTTCCTATTCTGAGGTGTCCAGCCCAGGCGACACTTGCGGGACTCCCTTGTTCTCTTCTCTGTTCCCTCTGCCGGACAGAAGTTCTTAATTGTTTGAATGTAACTTTAGAAAGCAGACAAAGGACATATTTGTTGTGAGATGGGAATTTCTCATAGGGGTTTGCAGGTCAAAAGAGCAAGTGAGCAGAGAAAGTCTATCTATGTGTGTATGAGGTACAACTGGGAAAGCTGAGCTATCTGTGAGATGTGCAAAGATGATCCAGAAAGCAAAGTGGGTCTTTATATTAATTCTGGGACTTTGTAAATAAGTCCTTATACCTGATTAAGAAGGCTTGTAGGTGAACATGCAGATATATTGAATATACTACCTTCAAGAAAGAAAATTAGTAACTGCCTTTGCATCTCTTCTTCTACACTGAGAAACCAGTGTTGTTCTTAATCTTTCTGAATTACTTCCACTCCTCCTTGGTTTCTAGAGCCCCGCAATCACATCTTTCCATGGGCTGCTGGATTATGATGAGAAGAGTCCCAGGGTTCACACTGACATGGAGAAAGGAGATGCAGTGTTCTTCCATCCCCTGCCTATTCATGGCTCTGGGATAAACAAGACATCAGGTTTCCAGAAGGTTGGAAACCACCTCTAGATACAGCTGTCAACATTTGTTTAGCTGCTAAACACAATAAAAGTCTCCTTAACTAAAAACTGATTGCAGAATAAGTAGGTGAATGGGGCTGTCTGGGTGCAGAGTGAGAACCCTTACTGAACACATGGATCTGCTCTCACCTGGCTTCTCTGGTTGCTTGTAATCTGAGATCAGGCAAGTGAAGTATTGCTTTTGCTCGTGTGTGTCCACAATCCAGGACGCATGAGCTTTTTCCCATTGGTCTTTTGCAATCGATGTGGTATCGAGTGATGCCCGATTTCCTCACACAGAGTATAAGCTGTCACTTCGCCAGCTCAGAGTGCTACTGCATTGACATCAAGAACATGAGCCAAGAGCACCTGGAGAGAGAAGTGATTGGATTTGGACATGCAAAATATAAAGTGACTTCTGCTTCAGACCCTGTGGTAATCTTAAATCATGACCTTATCTTGTAACCAAAATTTATTTCATCTGCACCCCTTGGTATCTTTCAGTGCAAATCAGCCCAGCTAGGGTAAACTTAGCCAGCAGCTGTTCAGGTGACTCTCTGAATATGCAATAGGAGGACACAGTGTGTTCAGTACCCATCTGAGGTGTCTTCTCTGCATACCACATCAATCCAATGAGCCTTTTGGCTTATTTCAAGTGTGATCTACAGCTTTTTATTTCATTTACTGTTTTCTGGGTTTTTTTTTTTAGTACAGAGTGTTTGGAAGAAGCAAGCAATGATCATGCAAGGAAAAAGAATTAATCTTTAAAGTGGCCTCTGAAGAGCAGGATGGAAAACCTGTGCCCGTGCATCAGCTTCTGAGTAGCCAGATTTATGTGCTTTTGGTCGTCTATGTAAGAAACTTACCGAAATACTGCATTACAAAATCATTTTATGCTAATACAAAATAGTTGCACTGAGGTTGAGCAGCTGATATACTTCAAAGAAAACCTGACCTACAAAAAAAAGAATTGCTGCAGTTATTTTAGATAATCAAAGAAAAATGATGACAGAAATTGTGCTTTACTTCTTGATTATCTTTTTTCTAGCCTCTCTCTTGATATACTTTCATGCTGATGCTCTATTAATGTAAGGTTATTAATAATCTTAATAGAATTACAATTATTTTAGATGAAATTAGTATTATTAAGATTCTATGCATGATTATGTTTTTAAGGTTTCTAACATCCTTTTTCCATGCAAAGTAAACACAGTGAATTAGGCTTTTGTGCAAGTTTCAGTATGAGCTCTTATGGGAAGTCATTAGTACAGCTGATGAAGATGTGGATTTTTATAATAAAGATTAAATTAGAGCAAAGCTGTGTTTGGTGGCTGCGTTGTATTCTTTCTATGGTTAAGAAAGTCTGGTAATGGGTGTGTGGTTGAATAACCAAATAAAATTGTCCAAAGAAGTGAAGCCTGGCAAGGTAGGTGTTTGGTCTGAGAAAAACCCCAGGATGCTGCAGCTGAGTCACTCAGCAGCTGGAGCACCATGTGCCATGAGTTGCCTGTGATGGGCTCCCACCCAGCTCTTGACCTCCCCTAAGTCACTCCGTTTACCCCAGCTCTGCAAGGGAACGAGGAACCTGCTGATTTTAGGCTCATTCATGTTTGGTGTCACGTGCCCTCTCCTAAAAGCAGCAAAGCCAACATGTGCAGTTATCCTGGTGAGTACTCCCTGTTGGGACAGCAGCCCGCACCAAAGTTGCTTATTTTCGTTTGCACCTGAATCCTGTCCCCTGTGCCTTTCCCAGCCCCTGCCTGTGCCTGGATAACCAGCTAACATGTATGTTCTTCAGCCCTTAGCTGCTGTGGGAGAAAGAGGGAGCAATTACCTTTTCTTATGCAAAATATTCCCTTCTTGCTCCGATTTCTCCCCTGCTCCTTGTCTGTGCAGTGTGGGTACCCCAAAGCCAGAGCTGCTCTTCTCTTAGCTCCAAGTCTATAGAGAGGACAGACAAACACAACATGAGCAGCTGTGCTGGAGGGGAAGTTATGTGTACATGGCAGCAAGTCCTGCAGCCTCTGCTGAGAGCTGTGCGGCAGCCAGCAAGCACCAGGCCAGGTAGGAAAGCCTGGAAGAAATCTAACAGCAAGGTGCAAAGTTAGTAATGAAAAGAATTGCCCGGGAGAAGCCACGTCCCCAGAGACAGCAGGGATTTCCCTTCCCTCTGCATTTGTCCATCATTCTAAAGATCAGCTTTTGAGTTTTTTTGTAAAGGACCATGCACAAAGGTTATTTTGCCATTTTTGAGTCACTGTTAGGCATATAAATGGAAAAGAGCACAGATCGCCCAGGCTGTTTTTTCAAACAGCAAAAGAAGGCCCCAGTTGTTTCTTAAGGCTGTCCTGCATGGGCATCACAGGGCTGTTTTCGGGGCAAAATTAGACAGGATCTGCAAGACGGCTTTGCACAGGAAATGAGACTAAAAGAACAGGAGAAAAGTTTTGCCAGCACTCTTGTCCCATATTTGCTTAATTATGGGAGGGAAAAGCCAGACAGCAACTGGGTCAGGAAGAATAAAACTACGTGAAATGTCTGGGTGAGTCCAGCTTGCTGGAGGAGCTGCACAGGATGGCCCAAGGGACCACTGCACAGGCTCTGCCATGAAAACCTGATGGGCAAAAAGGTGGTCCTTTAGTAGCGTGTTTATTGTGAAATTAAGCTGATTTTACCTGATAGTTAACAAACCTAAATTGGTGAGTGCAGAGGGAGAAAATCCTAAAGGTTTAATCTTTCTTCAAAGTGTTTGTAAAATCCAAGGAAATGTGGCAGCAGGGGAAGGTACTCTAAATGAACATTTCAGCGGTAGCTGAGCGCTCGGGAGAGGCAGGATACTTATATCTAAAACTCAAGCTTGATTTTTAGGAGGTTATTATGAGAGAAGCTGGATGTCTTCCTGCCCATTTTCATATGCACACAAGGCAATTTGTAGCTGGAGAAACAGCCTTGCCGACAGACAAACATTTTCTGGCTGGGGAAAGGGCTGATTTATCAGTTTACTACTCTGCAAATTGTAACAGTAGCTCTTAACAGTATTACATTTCCAGTGCAGTTTTGCTTAATGCTTATGGGGACATGGCAGCTTCGGCAACACTGCTGTCTTGATTCACCAGCAACGCTAATGGTAGCGGCAGCGGTTTCTGTAGTGTTAATCCAGTCTGATGCCTTAGACCCAGTGGTAGTGTTAGGGCAGACTCACATACCTCAGTCTGCTGGCTGCTCTCTTGCTAACACAGCCTGGCATGCACTTGGGCTTCTTTGCAAGGCTGGAGGTCTTCACCTTATGTTCCCAAAATTGGGACAGCTGGGCTTGTCCGGTCACACCTGAGCTGCCCCTCTCCTGGGTCTCAGCCTCTGCTCTTGCTCCCAAGTCTTGGTGGAAACATCATCAGCTCAGCAGGGACCTGAGACCTCGCAGGCTGCTCTGGCAGTGCTGGGGCTGTGCGCTCACACAGCAGAACACCCCAGCGCATAGCTGCCCTCCTGACACCTTCTGCTGGGCGGGAGCCATCTCTGGCACAAGAAAAGTATCTCCAAGAATAGACTGAGGCACATAAAATCCATTACAATAATCTGC